GAAGTTCAAAAATTTGAATATCAGATTTAAAAAAATAATTCTAACAACTGAAATGACATTTTTTTCAGGGCAACAAATTAGGCAAAAAGGCTGCAGAAGGAATAAAAACCAGACATATCAATGGTGTGTGACTATTCAGATAAACATTTTACATAGATAGTTTCATTTATTTGCAACAATGTTACTGCTACTATTTACAGATATGGACTACTGAAAAGATGAACACAAAAGATTTACCTCCACATGCTGCTGTGCTGTCAAATGCATAGTTCCTCAATCTCAAGCTGCCATTACAATATTCACATTTAAAACAGCTGCGATGAAAAAAAAATCCTTGAGCACTCAGTCTTTCCATGAGGTAAACTCTCTTATTACAGAAATAACAAACTTCACTGCCACCAGAGGGAGTCGAGACTTGATCACCTGTAGCAAGAATTGGCTTCAAATAAACAAAGAAATTAATAATCATCTAACCAGGTGAACTTTCATAACATATTCTAGTTATGCAAACTTTATTAATAAAAGATAATAACACTGATCAAGCATATCACATAAAAAACTTGAACTCATATGAATCAGATGTACATATGCAAATCAAGTTATTTTCCTTCTTTTAAAATGTTATGTCATTAAACAAAGCTTTACTATATTAATATACAATATCATTATAGGTATTCTAAAATACTTACATAATTTGGTGTGGGTGTCAAAGAAGTTAAAGGAACCTCGCCTCTGAAGTCAGTCTTTTCTCCTGTATTGAATATGCGTGATGTTATAGTGGCTACTTTGATTCTTTCTCCAGTGCCTGCAATCAGACTTCCTTCTTTTAATTGTTTATTAAGGCGTTTGAGGTTAGAGTCAAAATCTCCATATTTGACTTGTTCCTCTTCCAAAACACCTCCTGCTTTCAATTTGGCATCCATGGCTTTCAGCTATGAGTAAAATAGAAGCATCATCTTGTCAAATTAACAGCTTTTTATAATGCAGGAAATGCACCAAACTATATGAGTATGATTGTACATTGTGATGATGTAGAATTGTAATGCAACTATATGAGTATGGTTGTACATTGTGATGATGTAGAATTGTAATGCAACTATATGAGTATGATTGTACATTGTGATGATGTAGAATTGTAGTGCAACTATATGAGTATGGTTGTACATTGTGATGATGTAGAATTGTAATGCAACTATATGAGTATGGTTGTACATTGTGATGATGTAGAATTGTAATGCAACTATATGAGTATGGTTGTACATTGTGATGATGTAGAATTGTAGTGCAACTATATGAGTATGGTTGTACATTGTGATGATGTAGAATTGTAATGCAACTATATGAGTAAGATTGTACATTGTGATGATGTAGAATTGTAATGCAATTATATGAGTATTATTGTACATTGTGATGATGTGGAATTGTAATGCTTAAGCTTTTCACAGAATAGACAAGTGTATTTGGAATCTCCCACCACCACCACTATGGCAGATGTTTAAATGTGCTGTTAAGAATAGGAACCTCTATTGCCAAAAATGAATCAAATTTGTATGGAACAGATAATGTTGGGGAACAAATGTAGTTTTATTTTATTATTTTAAGCTGAAATGTAAACTATTTCAACGAGCACTCTACTTGTTGACTTTACTGACTTGTAGCTGTTGCTGCTTCAAGTAACTCTAAGGGTATTTTGTAAAAAATTAAATAAGTAAGAGATTTCTTTATTAATGTGCGAGTATGACAACATACCTAGATGAGTGAGTCTCATGCTCTATGAGTACTGATAGCTATGTAAACAGTACAATTCCCCAATACATTACTTTCATTCACTGATGCAAGTTCAACTGTTTCTACAAAGATTCATGTACAACAGATAGCATCATATTCTCAGAAACCCTATTATTAGATACTGTTAGTGAAACATTCTTTATTTCAATAATGTATAAATTGATTTTCTCCCCAAAAACTTATCTCCAAATTACTGACATTAGACACTGCCATTTACATTCTGCTTTACATATATTTTCCTTAACTTTCACTGTTGATATTCTATTTGTCTCTTGGAGATTTTGCCTGTCAGTGATCCCAGCCCAGGCCATCTACACAACATGACATTTGCATGATATAGGCAATGCTTAATTATGTATATTTTGTTTTATAATAAATTAAAACACAATTAATGATAAGTTTCATGGAGTATGAGGCAGCTGTAATAGATTACTTAAACAATTGGTAGGTTTCTGCCTGAATGGAATGTAGGGACTCTAGAAAGGACTTGATCTTATCTTCCTAAAGCTAGTCCATGGATAATCATTTATTACTTCCATTTTGGTAAATTCTGTTGGTTCAAAGATAGAACAAATTACACAGTTTTTGTGAATTTTTATTTCATATCTGTACTTATACTTATTCAGTTAATTATCAAAAATAACTATAATAATTATATAAATAATGGTTAATCCTGGTGCACATCAGTGAAAATATTTCATACATAAACATTGTTTTACCTACATTGATATTTTTGCTTATCATTAATTATGTATGTGAAATTTTGGTGCTAATGATAATTTATTTTCTCACCATCCATATCCTAGAAGAATTACTAAATAAGATGAAATGCACTGACTTTTCGTTGTTTTTTTTGTCTTTAAAATGAAATCCTCCCCATGGGAACTGAACACAACATATTCAATTTTTTCTGGTTTCCCCGACCCATGGGAACTGTATGTTGATAATGAATGAAAGCGATAGTTTAACTTTTGGATAGTCTCAAAAATTTGGGTTCATGGTGGCCATTCTAAGACACTGATACTGTTACTAAGTGATAGTTTTGGTTTTAACAACACAGACCAGTGAAATTTGAATAATCTTGGAAGAACAAAAATAGTCTCTCTCTGGTCTCTTTTCAAGGTAACAAATGTTTAACTGATGGAACTGTTACAAATTTCGTAAAATAACTAGGGCTGAAGGAAATTAACTGTAGATACATGATACTGCCTCAAATTGTGATTTTTGATATTTAAATTGCTATTTAAACAAACCTGCATTTACAGTGTCATATGTTCTTGGTACTTCATGTTATTACACAAATTAGCTTCCTCTGCATGACTGATTTAAATTAAATTGAAAACAAGCCACTTTATGGTATGAAGCCAATTTTCCTCATTTCATGTGCATCATTCATTACTCACACTGTATCACTATGTTAAGCTTGAATCTTTGATCAAGTTTTGAAAACTTCCTAAATTCAAGCTTTACATGCTGACACACACAAACACAGTAGAAATCCATTTTTATCATTACAGCATTTAACACTATTTTGGTTTACTTTACTGCTGGTTTCATTAAAATAGTTTCATCAATTGATGAGCATTTTTACATTAAATATTTAATTATCAAAATTACAATTCCTAAAATTTTTGTCTGCTATTTCAGTTTTAAAATGCTAATATATCAAATGCACACTACAGTTTCAAGCTTTGAAATTGCAAAAATCATAGACCTGACATGTCCCCAGTTTCAAAATATTAACATTCTGATTAATGCCAGTCATCGTTTTAGCATACTTATTTTTCTCAAGCTTTTAATCCTTAAATTCACCGTTCATGTAAATTTGACCAGAGTGCAGCACCTTATGATTTTAAGACACCTACACATAATACTACAAAAGCTTTTGCAGGTTTACATCATAATATTCAAGTTCAGGCTATTAAGCTTTATGGTTCAAAGGATTCCGAGCTGATTCATGTATGTATGTCATATGTTTAAGTCTATAAAAAAAAAATACATTTCTATTATCTTTGTCACATCACATTTATATTATGACTTGGTAATACTAAATTTAAGTTTTTCATAAAGAAACTGAATCTCATGATTTAGTTTTCTATTGATATTCAACTATTTTCAGTATTTTTATAATACATTTTAAGCAAGAAGAGAAATGATAACATTTTTTTTTTACTCTTGCTGTCGATTTTTAGACTGACCAGCTTTTGTTTCTGTTAGTGTAAATGATCAAATATTAATGTATGTCAATTTGTTACATAAAAATTTTTGTTCTGTGTCTTATATTTTAGGAAGTACCTAAAAACTGACCCAGTTACAAAAACTAACCCTTTCATCAAATATTTCTTGCATAACTTTGGGCCTGTTTCCAGTGGCAGCTTTTTGAAGCTTTTCCTTTGATTCTTCTTTCATTTGATCTTCCCAAAATTTGATATTCCATTCATCCTTTATTAATCTGCCAACCTTTACTGCCTGTTTTTTATCAACATTTTGTTTTTTTCCTTGCTCTTCTAGAAGCCTAGCACTCCACTCATCTCGACAAAGACGGCCCACTAACTGCTTCTTGTTTCCCGATAAATCTCCTCCAACACCATGTCGTAACCCAGAGTCCTGATTTAGCTTCTCTTCAAGAATTTTAAGTCGGGAACTAAATGGGACCCTTTCATGACTTCCAACTTTTCTTTTACTGGATAGTGATGTATCAGGAGATGATAGATCCTATAATGTACATTAATTCCAATCAACAGAGGAATCCTGATTTGTTTAAAGTAATGATCTTTTGATTTAAATAATTATTAATGTTAATATTCTCTTTACATTTTTCTAAACTATAATGATTTTTGTAACCATTTACCTTCACTCATTAATAATAGGATTTGTGTATTACTGTTATAATCAATTAAATAAAACATAATGGTAAGGAAAGTGTAATTCTTCTAAACATGTACAATTCTGTGTGCTTTTGAATACTTATCACTTAACAGAATACTGTTTGATTATATGTTACTTGTGACTGCCAACTTTAAGCCTTGAACTAACAAACTACAAACAAATACATTTATAGTGCCCAGTTAATTATCTGAAATCTGATGTACAACAAGACAAACAGAATGAATTAAGAGCAACTTCATTACAATTCCAGTTATTGATTAAATACAATAATCAAAAATTTATCTACTTTTAAAGAAGCTAATAACCATTAATAATAACTTCTGTAAAATGAAAAACAATCACAATTTTTCATTTTTCTATTTTTACTTACAGTATCAAATATTTAAAAAGAATTACACTAATAATTTAAATTGGCAGTCCTGTGGCATCTAGTATCCTCTGAGATTTTACTCTTGTTCTATGTAATACAAGAATTTGAAGTTCTCACACAACTTTATTCATACCAGAGAAATGCCTTTTTCTCGGGATCGTCTTCTGCTACCCACAGCAAAAGGTACCCTGTTACGTTTTAGGCTGTCACCTTTCTCTTTAGATGAATCACGTTCCAATGAATGCTGGAAAAAATAATTAAAATAAGCAAAAAAAATTATTTTTCAAAATGAAGAAGCATTTTATATTATCACTTCAGTAAATCTGACATGAAATTGAATAGTTAGAAAGTATTAACTACTGAACATAATTTACCTTTTAGAAAACCATCTTAAATGTTTTATACATTTAAATTTTGAAATGCATTTTATACATTCTAGAACAATGGTTTGTACTTACTTTAAAGTGAACATAGGAAAGATAAATGTACAGGATCAAAAAAATTAAAACTTTCTGGCTCACTCGTTTTTTATTTTGAAGTTTCTGACTAAATCGACTGAGAAATGATGTAGTATTTTGTGTCTGCTGGAGAGGTGTTTGTTCTGAAATGTCTCCTGCCTTGTGAGGTCGAACTGAAACATGATTAAAATATAATATTAATTTCAGCATTTGTATTGGTATTTCTAACATTATATTATTATTGATGACTGAGCTTTTCATTAATAGTTTAAATTCACATTATATATCGGTGTTACTTTAAAATCACCATGAATCACAGAATTAATCTCAACTAAAAACACATGACCCAAGCATGTCTTGGGTTATCACAGTTTAATTAATAATACATGTGTTTTTGTCTTCAGATTTATTATTCAAATACACCACATATATTTGCTGTAACAAGTAATGGTGCTTACTTACCAATATGTGGAATTTCACCACGAAATGTCTCATAGATCTGGGAAATGTAGGAAACCATGGTAAGCTTGTCTGGAACCTCATAGTCCTCCATTTCTTGCCCAGTCATTACTGGAGGAATGCCAAATTCTCGCTCACAAGTATCAAAAGCCTAGAAAAATAAAACTAATTTCTTTACTTACCTGCACTGATCTACAAAAAATATCTGTATTGCTATCTTTTTTTCTAAAATATGAAAAAACCTAGCTTGGGTTAGTTGAAGTTGTTGCCTATCGAGCAATTGCTAGAGGGTTAACCCTCTATTTCAATTTGTAGAGCATTCACCTGGTATGTAGTACCATGCTTCATCGTAAATATAAACATATTGAGTACACTCAATAAAATCACAACTTGTGGGTTTACTTAAAAATAAATACTTCTGGAGATGTTGGTTTTGTGTGTGTGTGTGTGTGTGTGTGTGTGTGACCTTAGTACCCCAGTAACACGTGGTAGTTTGGGATGCAATAGAAGTTATAATGTTGTGGTAATTAATTTATTTTGAACCCAAGACCTCTTGAATCAAGCAATGAACAAATAAATATTTGTGAAAATACTTAATTTTTCCAAGCCTAGTATCTCATGTTTTTTTCGTGGGTGTGGTATGCAGACATGCCATGCATTTTCTATCTTCTTATTTCGATGTATAACTTTCCAAAATTTTTCATTATTTCTAATTCTATGCATTTTCCACAGAACATATGGTCAAAAAATTCAAGCTGATTTTATTTTAGCTATCTTTGTTTTTGCCATTGCCTTGGAGATAACACTCGGTTTGCCAAAGGATGGTATGGCTGTAAAGTTGCACCCTGTACATAAACATTGACAGCAGTGTCCTACAATGGTAGGTCAGGTGATATATCAAGATTACAGCCTCCCTTATGTTTGAATGGAAATGACCACTTACATGGATATTGCTAGTTATTCTGTGTAAGTCTTGTGTTATGGATGCAGCAACTAAGTGACATAAGATTTAGATAGTTTGGAACATCATCTTATGGGAGTACATTTCCAACAGAGGTGACTGTCCAGTGCCCAACAAAAGTACGTTCTGTGTTTGTGTTTGAATATAGTTTTTACCGTGTATTGCATTTTGTGTCCAGTCTATTTATTTCTTAGCACAGGCTCAGTTAATTTTAGCAAAATTTAATATTACTTCACAATTTATCTCATTGTGACACAGTGGACCTACTTAATATATTCTTTCAGGAAATCAGCTTACCTGAAAATGCACATAAGGGTAAATGCCATCAAGTTTTATAAAAAATTATATCTGATCCTTCCCCTCAAATCATTTATACAGCTTTTCATGTACACAGAATCTTTTTTCAAAACAAAAAACACTGATAAATTTGGGGATCTATGAAACAATATTAAATTAAAGGGGTCCTTGGGTTATTAAAGTTTGAAAACTGCATATTTATACAATAAAACTACAGCTGAAATGTTCACAGTTAAATTTTGTTTTGATGTAGGAATAAAAACTAATCAAAATATATTTCAATGTGTTTCTTATTTCAAACAAGTTTTAGTTCAAATAGCTTGAAAATAGTGAATTTTTGGAACCAATAGTGTCAAAAAATATCAAATTAAATTCTGCATTTTGTGCTGTAAAACTAACAAAATCATAAATAAAATATCTAAAAGCTTGTATTATTTTTTTTTAACAATCTACCTGCTATGGAGCTTCCTTTCTTTAAACCTAAGTTTGTACTCAGGTTATTTTTTCTACCCCCAAAATTTTGTAAACAATCTCACAAACAGATGGAAGCACTGAGACCTTTTCTGTTCTGGTAGCTTCCTAAAACTACCAATAGAGTACACACCTAGTTTCTCCCATTTCTTCCCCAGCTGAGCTGAGAGCAACACACGGTTTCTTGTGGGTTGGGGAGAGAAATACCCCATGGTACTAAACCAAGGTGTTTTTCCAGTTTAATTATCTCTCTATTATTTGACATTTATGATACAATAAGAGTTTTTAGATCTTATACATGCCAAATATGAAACAGTATTTGCTTCAATAAATATTTTTGGAGAGTATTAGGTTTTTATGAAGGCAGTTCATACTTTTTATTAGATTGAAGATAGATGGCGCCAGTGAAGGCGAGAGAATTAGGCAGATGTTGATTGACTGTCCCAATGTTAGTTAACCTGAGGACAATAGTGAAAGTGAATACGATCAGCTTGAAGACAGTTAGATCACAGTGCATTCAGTGTCAAACAATGGTAACAGATATAGAAGATTCTGAGTAAGCAGTTAGGTTAGATTAAATGTAAGGCATTTTCATTGATGTATGCTCACAAATGGTGTTTTTAGTTCAAAATAATTCATAGGAAGATGTTTAGATAAAAAAAAATAATAATTTACTTATTTTTAATCATGTATTTTGTGTAAATAAGGTAAAATCAAGCATCAATATCTGATATTTTCCATTATTCCTTTATTAACACTACCACAACATAAAAAATAAAAAATTTCCATGGAATTGTTGAAAAGATGTTTACTTTAAATGCACACATAGATAGATTAACAATCTAATAAAATTTAGCATGTTTTTGTTTTGTTTTTTGGGTGTGGGGTTACAAAGGTTTTTCCATACAGCAAGGGTACTAACACAGGGTTAAATATAAAAATGGACTGTAAATTTGTTTTTATTATTTATCAGGCATATTTTATGAGCACATGCCTTCAAATAATTTAACTACATCATGTTGTTTTATTTTGCTACACATAGGTAATACTGTTGTTGTTCTTATTTTGTCACAAAGTTACAACATAGGCTATCTGCATACTGTCCACAGCAGGGTATCAAATCCCAGATTTTAGTATTATAAGCACATAAACTCACAATTGACCCACCAGAGTACACAAAGTTAACGAATTGATTTTATTGGTTCCCCCACTTGCTTGTTTATTTTGTTGATGTAAGTACTATGGTAGTTCCTTTTTGCTTTAGAAATATTTCCACTTTTAATTTCAAACTAATGGTTCTTATGGCGGACTCTACCTCAATGTGAGCTAAATTATTACAGAGGTAACTTTTATACATAAAATATAATGAAAAAGATTCTATCTGTTTATATTAGTTTTAATGATATATAGAGCATATAACTGCAAAATTTCTTTCCACTAAATGGATTAGCAAATGACATCATTATGCTGTGACTACATTTTGCTAATAATTGTACATGAGACCTAAGCTCTCAGATAAATGGTCACTGGTACATTGTGTATTCATCATGTGTACAATTAGACCACACAATAGTTTTTATTTCATTATAAATTGCAAATTTTCCAAAACATAAAAACATTCAATGATTATCACGCTGTATGTTTGAAGTGTCTGTATTTAAGATAGTTTGCTTTCTAAGTTATCAATTTCTATGAATACAACTACAAAAGCAATCAAAATGATGCCACCAGGCTGGAAAGCATTAAAATATTATAAAAGTTTTGTAAGTAACTTACAAGTTGGTTGTTTTTAGCTATGTCTTCTGGATTAAAAGAATCAAGATCTATTAAATCTGGGCGATACCGATGAATTATTGCACATAGAGCTAAGCCATTTTTCCAGGATGTTGTCATATTTTCAATCTTAATGTTGTCATGCAGCACCACCTGTCGTTTACACCAAGAAAGTAGTGCATCTGGATGAATGATGGATTCTAAATAACATAAACATTTTTTTTAATGATATTATGTAAGTGAGGACAAATCAGTTCTTACATATTTCTGAAAAAATATTTCTATCATATACAAACTAGATTTTCATTAGTTGTCTTTCCTTAAATAATAGCATTAAGTTTCGTCTTATAATTAATAGCAAATGGGACATTTACAATATGTGGATAAATAACTATTCACTGACAAGCGTTAACTGTAGAAATCACTAATTTTTTAGAGCTACATGATCTCAGTTTTACAACTGTTTTGGAAAGAAAAAATTAAAATGAGAAGCTTTTGGGTTACTAATCCAAAGTTTGATTTCAATAAGAATTGACAAAATGTCTTAAGATATATATTTACATATTACATATTGATGATAATATACAAAGTTGTTTACAAACTATGGTAATAATTTACTTATACAATCACACTGCCTCTGTCCAATTAACACCTGTGACTACACAGGTTAATAAAAGCTTAGACCCTCCTGTTGCAATTCAGCTGAAATGTAGTAGCTTGTACGTGCAGGTAGCATTTGAAATTGACCCTTCCTTGAAGAATTACACTAGGATTTTTCAGAGTAAAGTTCTCCTGCTCATATATTATAAAATCATGAAATGTTTCAAATAAATGGATATCTGTAGTGTTGAACCATAGGAAGGAAACAAGGGAAAGGAGTAATAACTGTTTGTTTGTTGTTAAGCACAAAGCTACACAATGGGCTGTCTGAGAATCAAAACCTGTTTTTTTTTAGTGTGATAAATCTTCATACATACTGCTAAGCCACTGAGAGGTAATAAAAACAGGTAAAACAATTATACTATGGAATAACAGTCCAAAACTAGGGCTATCACAGATAACGCCATCTAGAGTAGAAGAAGGGACTCCAAGACCCAGGTTCTCAAAAATTTATGCATTTTGTTTGATGTACCAGTTTTGCAGGAGTACATGTATGATATATTTACTGTGATTTTTCCAGTAGTGTTCATAATTAATTCATTAATTTGTGATGCTAACTCTATAATAATAATAAAATAAAAACAGACACCAAATAAATACATTATCTTATTCTTAATTTGAATTATTTAGAATTTCAGGATAGATACTTACACAATATTTGGTAAACTTTATAAGAGTATACATACACAAATATATAATAAGAGAAAAATAAATTCATTTACTTAAATATGCTACAAAGAAATTTTTTGTTTGTGCTCTCACACATATATAACAATAGAAAGATTGACAAATTTCCAAATTTTAGTAATGTGCAGTTATTTCTGTGTTCTAAACAGCTTTCAAACCAAATCTAATCTACAAACAATAAACAAGATCTCACAGGATTAACGTAACTGGAAGGGGTGTGTGTGTTATCTTTTCAACACAGTAAATTCCTTCACAATTGGAAAGTTTCTTACCTGGCATCAAAAAAAATAAATGCAACTTTTCTAAACTCAGGACTACAGCAATATCAATAGTGCAAAAACTATTATGTAACTAATCGTAAATTATTTACATTTTTACAATAAAGATAATATTATTAGATAAAATGGGGAAAAAAGATTGAAATGCATAGATTTAAAATAACACTTAAGGTTAATAAAATATTACGGCACAGATAAAAAGAATGAAGGATTTGTTTTTTTAACCAGGCATTTAAATGTGTTTATCACAAACTGTTAGTTTTTAAACAAGCTTACCTCTTCTCCTTCTTTTTCTTGGTATATCTGCCACAACATCAGGAAGTTGGTCAATGATTTCGGCATCTGTGTCATATAAGCCTTTCACCTGGGCAGGTAAGACGCTCTGAAGATTGAGATTTGGATAACGAGATGTGGGATTAATGGTATGCTGGTTAAAGTCTTTGTTGAGATTCTCTGGAGTTGTCTGAGCTAGTAATCTATAGATAGCTTCTCTTTCTGCTAACACCTGGTTATAAGTAGTGAAGTTTACTAAGTTTTTGTAAACATGAATATGATAATTCTTAATTCAATAAACTTAAAGATACATATAATCGCATTCTACTATAAAACACAGCAACCTAGAAAACTAACAAAAGTGTTGTAACAGATAGACATTTACATGGTTTTAGAGCCTGCAAGAGAATTAATAGTTGAAAAATGTAGGAGTGAATTTGTAAACATAACACTATATTTTAGAAATATCTATTATACACAAATAACAATAATTTAGTGAAAACACTTCTATACACTGCCCTGCATAAAATCAAAAAAAAGAAAGAATAAGGGTACAGATGAAACTAAAACTAAAATTAACAATCATAAACACTTTGCTTGCTTAACCACTTGAGTATTTCATCACATTCAGATAACAACTGTACAACTACATTACCCTTTCATATTTGGGTCTGACTCTTTTGTACGTCAAGACATTTCAGTGTAACATGCCAAATTTAATTATCACTGTATGTCAATAAATTATGTATGAAAATGTAGTTTATACTCCATTCTGTATACTACCTACAGAACTTCCTTTTTTCAAAAAAAATATTTAAAAAATTCTCAAACTAATTTTTCTGTGTCACAAGATGTGTCCAAATTCTAATTTCTCCCCTTCAGAATTTTCTAGCTTCAAAAATAGACTGCTGTAATTTCCAATCAATTAGAAACATAACTACTAGCAAGAATCTATAAGTTGAGCCTCCTACCTTTTTCATTTGCCGAGATATCAATAAATGTGTCAAACCCACCAAATAAACCACCCATCCCACCCTCTGACATTCGACTCTTTGCTAATCAACTTCTATGGCTGATGGATATGTTTATAACCAACAGAAAGTACAGATTCCCCCTCTTCATAAATCATATAAGTCATTGTTTAGTTTTCCTTGCCATAAACTGTTAGTCAGAAGAATTGCTTGGTTTTTGGTGATCATATTTGCTGTTCTGAATGCTAAAGGAATTTTTTTATCTGTTTATAACTTACTTAGATAGCCAGAGAAATTATAATAGTTTTGGGGCATTCAAGTGACTGATATATTTTTTTGTGTTCTAAGATGCATATTTGAAAGCTATATGAAATCCTTTTTGAACACCCAAACTTGTGAGATTCAAAGAGGCTTACAAAGGAACATTTACAATTTTAACAAGTGCAAATGAGTAAGTACTACAGATCCTTGTTTTTATGTTTATGTTTTATAAACTGCTATTTATTTTTTTGAACAAAGTACTAAAATTTAAAAGTTAGAAACTTTTCAGCTTAGCCTAACAAAATTTCAGTAGAATAAACCATCTAAAATTTCATAAGTTAAAGTGTGTAAAACATGATACAATCACATGCTGTTTATGTTAGCTCTAGGGGAACAGATAATGGGCACCAGCTGAGTTACTGCTTTTGACATGGGTACAAAGTAGAGCAAAAAAACTATAAAATTAAAAGGAAAAATATGAAAAGGTTAACAGTTGAAACTTTTAAGATAAGTAATTTGGAACTACCTGATCAATACTGCAGTCACAGCAGAGGAAAAATAGTATTAAGTTTATTTCATAATTTTCAACTTTTTATTTGTTTCACTGTACATGAACAATTTCACAGCAGTTATTTATCAGGGTACAGAAACTAATAGATAAAATAAACTTTTACCTAAAAAATTTTTGGTATGCACTTAGGAGGTTCTACAGGTTATGAAATTTAAAACTATATGATTGAAAAGCAGTATTTGTACTTTTAGCACAAAATAAAATCCAAATAAAATCTTTAGTATATTTTCTTTATTAAAAAAGTCTGAGTTTTTGTGTGCAACAGACTCATAACATTTACTTAAAGTTTGCTAAATTTTGTGAAAGCACAAGCAGTAAATTCAGAATTACAGAAAACAATAGTGTGTATTTTATCACAGATAAAGGGTCAGTCAAAGTGACTGACCCCATGAAAAGATGGTCAAAATTTAAAAGCAAACTATTTTTTATTAACATGTTTTAGTTATTTTATATCATTAAAGATTTCTTACAAATGCATTAACTACATTATATTCATAAATTTTTTTGATGCATTTTATAAAAACAAGTGGAAAAATATACAACAGCACTTTTTTTTTCTGTACTGAACATGTGTACTTTCCATTCTCTGACCTTCATGAATTTTTTCCAAGACCTAACATATATAAGAATGCAACGTTTTCTAGTACATAGAAATAAATTACATTTTGCATCTTGTGAACAAGCTGAAATATTAAAATTTCTTCAAAACACTCTCACAGTATCTTTTCTATCCGAGGTCAAGAAATGCACTCTGATACTGACTTTTAAAGTCATATATGGTAATGCCACAGAGAAGGAACTGTACACATGTGGCTATACAACTTTCAGTGAGCTTCTCATACAACATCTATTTCCACACCCTATCTACATTACAGTTTTAGTCACTCGTTTGTAATTCCTTCGTTACCTACAAAATTCTTGTGGTTTTAATTTTTATAACATCTAAAACTATTTTACAAGTTACTAATATTTTGTATGTAAGCAAAAGTACTCCTCCCCAGTGAAAGGAAAAGTTTAAGTTAATCTATCAATTTAAATTAATTCATGGACTTTAAGAAGGTTAATTGTGTGGCACTCTTGGTTTCACTCAGAGCCAAAGCTCTGAGCTACTTATACTGCCCACCACAAAAAGTAATTGAACATTTCAGTCATGCTAGGAGACACTCAACAATAACATATAGTAAATCTACATTTTCATTCTTTAAGTTATGCCAAATTTTGAAGTTTAAATGAGAGTGTGATTAATTCCTAACAACTTCGTGTAGAATATCTTGCTTGCAAAACAACATCTAACATCAACATTATTCAAGTCCTGTTCTCCCATCATTTCAAAAGTGAGTGTTTAGCTTCACAAGTGTGTGCAGCTTTTCAAACAGGAGAAAGACAAACACTTTGACAGACACCAGTTTGCAATGTATATGTGATTTTTTTTCTTCAGAAGACATACTCGAGCAACACATGTATTGTTATAAACAAATATCTAACTGAAGTAAAGCTCAGAAACATGAAATAATGTTTTTGGCTTGTGGCAAATACAAGCTGTAAGAAATGTGAAAATAGGATAATAGCACATAAAAAATAATTTATAAAGTAAATGTATATAGTTTGGACTATATTTCACTGCAAAGCTGAATTACACTAGCCAGTCCATGAAATTAGCGATGGTATATGACAAAGCCATCACATCTTATCATAAGAAAGAAGAAGAAGAAAAAAAAAGGAGTGTGTGTGTGTGTGTGTTAAAATTTTTTCCCTTTAACATTTTCTGTAAATAACTTCAAAGATTAAGATTCTACAAAAAATTAAACTTCTGATAAATAACTAGAATATTTAATGGTATAAACACCTCACCTTGTTACCTAGAAACCAGGAATTTGATGCACCATGTCTTCACTTTCGTTTTCGTGCTTTTTTTATCATGATGTTTGTAAAAAGGACAAACAGAAAATGAATATGTAGTCTCTAGAACATTTCATTTGTCAATCAAAAAAGCTCAAAAACAAAAGTGATAGTGTATTGCATCACATACAAGCTTCTAGGATTACCCATTTACCAGTAAAGACTATTATAAAATATACCATACACTGACTTTACACATTTTATAAGGTTTTCTTTTTATCTTTCATTCCATGTCAGTTTTCAGTTATGATTCTTTTGCCTAACTTTTCAAAAGCTTGGTTTGAATATTCACTTTGTTATGACATTAATATTATTAGAATATTTTTGATTGAATAACATGAATTTTGAAAGAAAACATCAATAAGTTTTCCAGTTGTATAAAACAGTAACAGTCTGAATATAAGAGCAGAATGCATCTTTACTCTGAGTCTGTCGTTTATAATTTATTTATGTTACGATGATTAGAAACATAGGTAGTTTATAAATATAATAAATATGATGCATTACCAGACCATTTGCATAGTGTTTTCTTTCCTTAGCTGAAACTAGTGATAATAAAGCCATGTAAGCTGAATAATATAATTATTTTCTAATGAACACACAAAAACAAGAGTCAGTTTAACAGATAAATCCATTATGTTTTATGGCAGTAAGTTTACATTGTAAACAAACTATTTATCATCTACTGGAAATAAAATGAGTGTTCAAGCTGAAAGTGCCTCATGTACATAATGTATTTAGATGATAAAAAGGTCAAATAGTAACAAAGCTTATGCCTCAGGTTTAACTTAGAAAGTTGTCTGTAATATTACAATTTCAACAAAAATATTTAATCAATATAAAAACCTAATGCAAGTATTTGATCTTAATGAGGATGCTTGTCTTATACCTCACTAACGTATTGTAGTGTGTCTTTAAGACTTCAAAATGGATGACAGCATTTACTGTCAGGCTGTCTCGGTCAATGCACCTATGGTGGAATTTTTTTGCCATGGACTTGGTATCCTAATTTTGAGAACTGAAGAACTCCAACAAATTTCTGTTTTTTTATTCAAAATTCTATCAAAACACTAAAACTGTCTTAACCATAATCAAGCTAGTGATATTTATTCGAAATATACTACTTGCCCTTATTAACTGCCCAGCTTTATACGTTGTATCTTTTAACACTATATACATTCTTTTGCAGCTCGTTCTTACACATCTAGTTATGTTTAAATTAAATTAGAAAATTAATTGTAATGCTTAATAATTTGTTATCCAACCTGTAGAGGAGTCATCTTTCCAGATGCCCAGCTACGAATCATCCAAGCTGCATCAAAAGAGCCAAGGAAACCCCTAGCACATCCAGATCCCGTTGGCCAGAAAGGCTGTTAAATAATAATATAACAGAATAAGTATTATTTAATGAGCTTAAACATGCTCTTAAGATACCGATAGATCTTTTAATTTTATTAATTCCTGACATCTCACATGGAAAAACAAAACTGGTTTTGGCCATAAGCCTTCAACAGAATTTTTAGCATGTCTGTTTTTCAAAAACACAAAAGCAGTACCTTATTTTATTTCTAGTATAATCTTTCCTTCACATTTGGTCAAATAACTTTCTTCTAAATATATTTTTACCATGTACTAAAAAATATTAATTGAATGGCTCCATAATGAAAACACCAAGCTTTTTAAATAAAATGAATGGTAAAAGCAATGGGACAAATCTCAAACACGTTCAAGACAGTGTTCAATATAAAACAAATTTATTACAGAAAATTGTTTGGAGCCAATTTTCATTACTAATTGATCCATAGATTACATATAACTTCTACAATTTCACACATAAACAGATTACAGAAAAACACTTCTATATATCTGTGGATAAAGAATACTTTCAATTTTACTGTCACATTCAGTCCTTATCCTGTTGATCCTTTTCCATCACAATATGAAGAAAATTAGGAATAATACTAATATTTATAAGATCTATATGTGATTAAGAGATTACAGCCTTTAAGTAGTAATAGTTTTTTCAAGTATGTTTACAATGCTCAATAAGCTATCTTTTCACTTCTACATTTTCATAGTACAGTCCATCCAACATACACAAAATGTAAGTAAGAGGGCAGAATACGTATTTCAAAACTGTTTTATTTATAAAATGCATAATTCCAATAATATTACTCATCTCTAAATATAGGGAACCAAAATCCCTTTGATGAGTAAGAAAAAGGGTCTGAAAGCAGACAGAAGAAACTATTTCAAGTAGGGAAATAAAAAGGAACACAGTACAAACACAAACTATACAGAAATCCTATAACAGGAGACAACTTTACAAATAATTTGTCACAAAACTAACACAAATATGTTTGATAAAGAGTTAAGGAATCCAAAGAATACTCAATACTCAGATATATTTTTATATGTACAATAATACAATGTGTACTATTACTTAAAAGAAAATACTTATCCACATGTAACACATGCATTCCTGGTATCAACAAATTATCACATCACCTGATTATGTATAAAGTGTCACAATTATGACAATTTCAAACTACAACGTAAGATGTGGACAAATCAAGAAAATAAACTGAATACAAAAACGTATTCTAGATCTCTTATCAGAGAAGCCAGCTAAAATCCCAATACATTATAAATGAAAACACACAAGTCTTTGGCACATTACATGTTTAAAAGTAGACTGGGCTCAATTCACAAGTTTCTACAAGTCTTTAGGAACAAATTAACAACATTAATCACAAGGCCTAGAATTTTCAATGTGCCATGACAATATGAGTCTTAAAACCAATGTAATATTCAGTCAAGCAAGGCAGCCATAGTTGCTCAATGCATCAAATGCCATTAAACAGAGAACTCAGTACTAAACCTTGCTGGGCTAAAATAAATAGCAATAATGAAAAAAAAGAAAAAAGAGCAGTCAGTTGGAAAATAGATGGAAAAAACAGTGATGACATCACCAACAAAAATCCTTCACGTTGATGGCTAAATAAAAAAAAAAAAGAAAGAAAGAATACCTACAATAACAGAAAAACTGGGCTAATAACTCAATAAATGATAACAACCAACAACACAGACATAACTTATCTTAAACAAAAGAACTGCTATTAGCTGATATAGAAACAGGTCAGGGTTGCTACATAATGAGTCTCCACCAAATGATATAAAAGGGGTTACCAAGGATAAACTGACAAATAACTAGCCATAAGAAACCCACAATAACAATTCTAGGTCATAAGAGATCGACAGGCCTTCTGTTCTTTTCAAGATTGATAAAGTAATTTGACCTACTCATGGCAAAAACCTATGGTTGGTCAATTATGGAAATCCTTCAGATTGCATATAATTTCTCTGAAAGGGGGCTGAAGGCCACCTGTAGGAGTCACCTGTTTTAACAACTCCCACCACTATACAGTAGTGTGAAGTGTGTTGTCTGTCAGTCAGTCAGTAGACCTTAAAATGATGTCACATAAGGGACAGTTAATGTTGCAATTCGTACTGTTGTGATGTCAGTAAAACATGCACATGCCATGAATCATCAGAAGAATTATGCACTCTGTTTACTCTTGAAACAGAACACTTTCGGGGATCTTGCAGAAGTACATCTAGTAGTATGTTGGTAATTCAGGTATTATTAGAGAAATTATTCATATATGGGATTAAAAAAAGATTCACTTATACAGTCACTAAACTAATGTGAATTGACCACATTTATCAGATGCAGTTGTACCAAAGTATAGTAAAAAGTAACAAAATCATAACCATTAATGCTCAGATGTTGACAGTTTATTGTACTTGATACAGTAAGGTGTTTCTCAAATCACCTTTGTTTATTACATGTTCCAAATTTCTTTTAAACAAAAACTAACATTTTTAATCTACTCAAGTTACATATTTCACACAACTTATTTCTACAAAAAATATGAGTCACAGTCTTTTATAATATATTACAAATATATTTTATAATAAATAATAACTGCTTCATTTAACAAAACCAAATTATGCATATGGGGTTCCATAACTGAAAACATCATAACTTTGTCACTTATCACATCACTTTCTTTAATATTGAATAGCTGTATAAATTATCTACATACATGTTGAAGCTTGACCTTTCAATAGTGATTGTTTATAACTGTGAAATTAACCCTTTAACATTAGGTAGGGTCAAAGAGTGTATGTTGCAACCTATGCCATGAAGGTAGTTTATGATTCAAATTCTAATATTATGTTTTAAATTCTTAATTCGAACAAAAAAAAATCAATTTTCAATCATAATTTTTCTGTATCACCTGACACTTTGTTATGAATTGTTCATTTTAGACGTTCTTTCTACCCCTTTATGATTTTTGAGTTTGGCACGAATTAACACTTACCATATAGGTATTTATAAACCATAATGTAAATTTATAGCTCCCAATATTCTTGATTTACTGAGACATACGCATGAGCAAAACCATATGCATGCCATGCCCCCTATCATATCCTATCTTTTAAAAAATTTCAATAATTCTCTCTCATATTTGCTATTGGATTACTTGCAACCAATAGAAATATATTTTAAATATTGAATTCCATAAAAGTCTTGCTTGTTCTGATGACACTTTTTGAATTACTCAGCCTACATTTTCATTGTTGCTATCACCAAGATTACCTCAACCAACTAATGGAATTATTTGAACATACTTATATCTTAGTTAGAAAGCCAGTTAAATTATAACAGTTTTAGGACATTGTATTTGTTTGGATGTTAATATTTTGTGTTCTAAATTGCATATTTGAAATAAATACAAATTACATTAAGTACTAATAGCAACCTCACCTTTTTTGAGACTTCAAGAGCAAAACTTGAAAAAGACTTCCATGTAAGTACTTAATTTCTTGTTTCTTAGGTAAATTTTTAATTTTTTGTTATAAAAGTAATTAAGGTGTAAATATTAGGTGCATCTAGGTTAGATAAGAAAGTGTTTTATAAGCATGCCAGTAACTTCATCCTTTGTTTACACAAAGCTGCCATACTGCAACAAATAGCTTTCACAACGCTCTAAGAGTTGCTGTAAAGCAATACATTTTAATGACTGGAAGATTTTAAAAACATTAGTTTTGGCTGTCATTTTAGAGACATAAAATGGTAATTTAGATTTACTTTGTTATTATTTTTTGTGTGGTTACAAAGTCAGTCAATTAGACCAAGCCTGTATACAGTGCTAGGGCAGAGCAAGTTACAAATATATATAAAAAAAACTTTTGATATCCATTTAAGAGGTTCTAAATGAAAAAAAAAGGAGTATTTTATCCTTACATGAGAATCACCTTGCATTCAGACTGACTGAATAAAGACTATGTAAATTCACATACAAAAATACCTAATTTAAAAAAATCTGATTTTTTGTGTACAAAAGAATTGTAACATTTACTAAAAGTTTGCCAAATTTTGTGAAGATACACTAACTACATCAAATTTTATAGTATGTATAGCTTCAATGGTGGTTACAAAGTTGGTCAAAATGACTGAGCCTGTTTAAGGAAAGTTAACTACACTGTGTCTATAAATATCTGTATAAACAGATTACTGAAGAAAGTTATTAATTTATATTCAATATCCAAGAAAGAATATGCACATACAGGATTTATATAATTTATAATCATTGCTATTACAAACTCTGTTATGAAATTTCTTTTGTGACTTGATAATGTGTTTTGTATTATTTGCAACTACACTGTGAAGAACACCCATAAATATTAACTATAACTATTGTGTCAAGTGGCTCAAATATCTATAAGGTCATCAAGAAACAGTGACATGTTCTATCAGTTTGAAAAATTCTATTATATGAACTGAAAATGAACACAATGTATAGGGATAAGTAAAAGACAGAATATATTTATCAGAGAGACACGAACAAAACATTTTGAACCTTTTCGATGTAACACCTTAAAAGGTGTTTGGTGGTAGCTGAATCTCACCAACATATGTGCCAATCAACACTGGGTAAATTAAAGACTGAGTTGGTTGAAGCACTGAGTGAAAAGGTCACCAATGCCACAGTTGATCCCTCATGTGTTAATGAATGAGCCAGTTTATATTTGACTGTGCAAGATTAGAGGCAATGAAACACAAAAAATCTGCTAGAATACCTATCCCTTGGGAGCCAGAATAACCTCAAAAGCCACAGAACAAAAATCAATTATTTGTAAGATTCAATAAAACCCTGGAAAGCTTACTTGCAAAAAATACCTGGGAAGCAAAGGCCCAGGAAAAATATGACTACAAATATTTAACTGATATATAGATGAATAGAAATAGACTTTAAATATCAATAACTGTAAAAGTGGAAATGACATGCAACTTCTGCATGTAAGGAGGAAGCGAGAGAAATTGCATACGAGACAAAGAAAAATAACTTGAAAAGGTGAAGGCAGCTATAAGTAAGAGAAAGTGATTAACCCAAAAACTAGGATGGCAGAAGACTACCCATAAAAGCAATTGTTCTGAAGTCAGATGACAGAGGATGATTGTGAGAAGAGGCCAAAACAAACAACAAAGCTCTGGAAAATAATAAAAATACAGACCTGAACACAAGATTTGACTGAACCAGTTACTTACAGAAGATTACAGACAAATAAAATCATCTGTCAAAGCTTTTGTACAACAAATATGGAAAAACAGATGGTAAAGATTTAAAATTAACTTGAACAAATCATATAACTCTTCAGGAATGTGAGAATAATAAGGCACCCCAGGGAAAAGTGCTTAAAGGACAAAATATTGTGAACAGATCATGTACAAGTTTTTCAAATGAAAATATGTTGAATTATGTTACCAAAAAAATGGGTGATAATGAAAGAGTAAAAGTTGAAGTTTATCTCCCTCCACATATATTTGAATATTCTTTATGCATTGATACTTCACTAAAATTTTAAAATAAACTAAAAAAAAAAGCTATAACTAGGTTCAAAACAAAATTTATATTTTCAAAATAGTTTATAACAACGTGAAAAAAAAAGTAATATTTGTTGCAAAAAAAAGCTGGTAACAAGTAATAGGGTAACCAATAATAAATCATACTAACTTCTAAAAGACTGTCTCCTACTAATGCCTGTAGTAATTTGTGACCCCTCCTCTCCAGTACACGACATGCATGTTCAGCAGCATACATTGATGTAAAATCAAACATTGCTACATCAGCTTGGCCATAATGATTGACAGCAAAATCCAGGGCTGGAAGTTGACCATCCGTGGAAAAGTCAGCAGCATCTCGAGCATATTCCATCAGTGATTCTCTGTCTACGTTTTCTGGAGCCAAAAGTCTTGCTGTATCACTATAATCCTGTAAGTCAAAACTTTTGTGAACATGAAACTTTCCATGCTCTTTCTTTTGCTACCTACTAACTTCTACATTTTGTTAATCTCTTAGAATGCTATTACTTGAAATGTTAAGGATACTTTATACAAACTCTTACAATGAAAAAAGTATTGATTATTATAGAGGAAATGACAGATATTAAACCAATCACTAAAATTTCTACTAGCTTATTGAATAAACCATATAATAAAACAGTGCTGAAGTAAGTGAGGACTGTGTCCATACATTAAGAATCACTCCTCTCTCTAAAAGTGACTGTTTCTTTGCTGTCATGACAAAATAATGGGTGTCATCTTTATAATACACAATATTTTCCAGGTCAATTCCAGTGTGCTCCTTCATGTCCTGGAAAAAAAAATTAATTTTTACAAAGCAATAAGTATCCTGAATACTACATTTATAACATTTACCAATAAGATAAGCCACTCCAAAGTGGCATAAAGTTAGTTTTATGCCTGATGCAAATTTAGTTGTTTACTAATGTTTGATTTTAAATTGAATTTTTCACTTTCTATAAACATCCATGTATTCACCATCCTTTTTTAAATTTCATATCTGCTGTCCTCACACCACATAAAAGCTATTGACACTAAAAACATCCATTTCATAAATAAATTCAAACAGATTATTCATCCTCAACCTGGTTTCATCACTGTTAATCACTAAAATAAGACAACAGAACAAAGAGATACACCCAACTTGGCTAAACAACAACTAAACTGATTTCAACAATAAGTGTCAATATTGTGATGTTTTATGACATACAAGATGAACCATACTGAAACACCAGCAGTGAAATCATTATGAAAATAAATAAAGAATTTGAGGTTTATTAACACATGAAAATCTTGATTTTGGATTTGGTACAAGAATGGCAAAATTAAAAAAAAATTATATATAGATTCTACGAAAAATAATACTTTCTTTTGTCAAAATATTATGATGCAATCTTTCATTTCAACACATATCTTAATCTTACAATGTTAGTTTACTACAAAAAAAATTTACTAAAAGAAAAGACAAGTTTCTTCCAAACTACTCTACTAAATCTTGATGATAACAAAGATTGTGTACTATTTTGACTGCTTTTATTGATTTTAATTTGTATGTTAAGATGCTTCTAAATATCCTAATTTCCTTACTTATACATTAATTTTGAACTCACAGTTCTTTATCAGCATAATTATTTTAAATAAATAAGCAAATGCTATTCAATTGATGACAAAAAAAAAAATTACGAAGTGCAATTTCCAATAACTGTAAATTATTCCAAAATATAAAACAAATACCCACACAGAGATTTAACTAAACATGTACATAATCTATCTCATAGTTATAAAAAAACGTTTTCAAAACAATAAAAACTTTGAAATAATAAACAAAGTATATCTACTAATGCTTGGAGATGGCTTGAATGGGTAATGAAGAAAAAATTTAATATAAGTTTTACATAACAGTAAATGTACAACGTTTTGACAAGTTTTTGTCATCATCAGGTACAAGTAGTTTACACTGACAGAAATATATATATATACACACACACACACAGTATGGAACAAAGAGGTCACATGACCAGATACTTTTGCACAACTTAGAAGAGATATCATGGCATCCTTGGGTGTTGATTTAGAGTAAGGTTGTTTTGTTCAATTAAGATGGATTCCTTGATTTTTCGTTTGTTTATGTTTGGTTCTTTATTTAAAATTACTGTCTTTTTAATAGATATACTATTGGTTTTTTGAGTTGCAATGGTAGAAAACATGGCACAGTTTTTTATTGTGTTCTGTGAATCTGGTTTCCAATTTCCTTCCTGTTT